TCCCGGAGGCTGACGTTTGTCGTCCTTTTTTCGGATTTCCCAAGGAGTCCGTGCCGCGTACGACGATTGCAGCGAAAGTGAGGAGGGCGAGAGGGTGGACACGCATCTCCAAATAGTGTTGTCGTCGATAAGAGGGAAAGAGCGTAATTTTCAGTGAATGAAGACTATCATCAGTCGCAAGGTGGGGCCAGTTCCATGAAACAACAATAAATTTTGGTAAAAATGTTCATCTCAGTAATCAACTTTCTTGAATGTTACGTAGGAGTATGAGATTCTTACGCAGTATTTGTTAAAAGTAAGAAACATCAACCATCATATCGTCCAATCAGTGAATGACGCGCACTAGGTGGTGGACAGATTAGTACGATAAATTTTTGCGTGACATAGAAGCTAAATAAGATAAAGCGTACTGTGGAATTATTTGGAGAAGGAAACCGTAATGTCCCCTCAGTTTTCTAGTTAATCTTCTCAGTTTGATGTAACGCTACATAATTAGACAATAATAAATTTCGAGTAGAGTGAACGATATCTATATCAGTTGTGTTAAAAAGTCGACTTTTCTCGTAATCGTTTACAATTGAGCCCTTTGTGCGCAAACATGTCGTGTGGTGAGCGTCATTGTCGGCGTTCCAGTCATAGGTCGCTATGTCCCAACATCAAAAGGTGTGAGTGAGTAAGTGATTGGTGGAAATCCATCTTATCGAATCAAAGCAAGAAACAAAGGATATCATTACTGATGCAATATATTCTTTGTAATTTGCGAAGATGATGCGGTGTTTGCATGAGGGTGAGTCACAATGCACAGCGATGTGGAAGCTTAACACAACCAAAAGCTACGGAACGTAGGGAGGCCATTTTTATATCTTAATAAATTTGACTTTGTTCCTCAGTACAAGTCTCTTAACTTTGTGGGCACTATCACTCGTGTTTACTTAAATCGGCCCTTACTTACATGAGCATGTAGATCCTCAGCTTCATCTGCAGCACAGTACTGGATTGTCGCTAAGCAAAATCTTACTTAAAGCGGATCATCAAATTTAAGTGCTATTATGCGGGCGTATATTGACGCTGACAGATATGAAACAGCACAGAAATAAAGTAATTTATACAGTAACGAACAGGACAAATAAAAAATAACGCGCGACGTTTGCACGCGATAGACGATCCGAATAAGCACCAGAATGAATAACAAAGAAAGAAAGAAGCTATCTTTCAACTCACTACCAAATAATCCTTTACATGTAAGCATGATGGGGATTATATGCTGCTGTAGAGACGGCGTCGATTTTAAAATAATTTGTGCGATGGAGCGCAATTGCAGACGTAAAATATTCGAGTCCGCAAACGGTGAAGACAAATCTTAACAGAATTTTGCCCTAAAGATGACATAAATACGATTGCGAACCACACTGAACTAGGACAAATTATATGCAAAACTGGTTGTAGTTGTACATTGCCCTCAAAGCATGTCGATAAATTTGCCAATCGGTAGAGCCATACCAAATTATTGGGATTGTACCAGAAAACTGAATGGAGATAAATGGCCCCTACAGGTAATTGCTAAATATACCACACATTTTTACCGAACCCACCATATAATTGTGCGCCGCACCACATACCACGTTGCTCTTAATCGCGATAAGTAATTTCTTATCAAGTCCCCGATTAAGCGCTCGCATCGACGACCACGAACAGCGACTCCCATGGTATTTATGGGAATGGGTGCGACCGAAAAGTTGTGGGTGGGCGTGGGTGCGCGCGTCGTCACAGGCTTATCTTTTTAGCTGGCTTCAAAATAGATTCAGACAATTATTTGTTACGGTGTAAGAGGATTGGTGATGACAGTATTTTTTAAGGTGTACAATCTGCCGCTACACAATAGTGTTGGCCATATGTCGCCATTATATTTGACTTTATGCTATAAAATGTATTCATTTGACCTGAAAAAAAAAACAGCTTTATAACACGAAGCAATCGTCTTACTTTCTTTTTACCTTGTCAAGTTTGCATTACATTCCGTCCAAGTCTGCTACAAAATGCCATAGTCAAAACAGAAAGCCTGAATGAAGTTGGTCAAATTTAACGTGGAGCTCGACCTGAAGCACAAGATCTCAGGCAAAGACGATCACCTGCACACGATCGAGTAGATTCTGCCTGGAAAGACGCTCTGCGGTATCTTGCAACGGTTTGATTTGGTCTCCAGTATTGAGACCAAGAAGCCGTGTAAAGACATGAGTGGCCGCGGACTCACCGGCTACTTTGCTTGCAAAACAGTGTATGTGATGAAGTGCGTTTGAAAGAGATATTGGACCCAGGGTCTAAGGTAAAATGGTATACTTTGAAGTAAAGGGCGTCTAGGATATGGAGACACGAAAGAGGCCAGATTTACGGAGAAGAGGGATTCGCAGAGCCAATCGGGAAGAAGACCGTTGCTCGAGTACCTGATAAGCGGTAGCTAAAAGAGGCGACTGCAAGCTCTCGTTTATGGACCCGGTCCTTCATCGTAGACCACGGTCCTTTATCGGTAGACCTGGTACCTTATCAGTAGACCTTATTATTTCATCCATTGATCGTGGTCCCTAATCGTTTGACAGGGTCCATCAAAATTCGGCTAATCCTGAACAGCCACTTGAAGAGACAGAACACAAGGTCAGGGTTGAGTATAGAAGTTTAATAATAGGATAAAATTAAATACTACTCCACTTGCAATCTATGTGTCACTACATCGTCGTATGCTAAGTATATTGAATTCTACCCGCCTGTTTCGGGGAAGGGGTACACTTTGACCCTTTGTTGAATGCAGTTGCAAGGTAAAACGTAAGATAAGGTAGAACACCAGGGATTATATGGCCTGTGGGTTTATCGAGCAAAACAACTCACTCAAGATCCGCTATCGGAAGCGGTCTCCCTACCACACGATAAGGGAGCAAAGTAAAGTCCAAAAGGTGAAAACCCTTGCGACAACAAGGAAAGGAGTGACAAGCTACATGAAGAACTTATTTATAAGTCCATTATCAACTGGAAGAGGAAGATGTATCGGTCTTGATAGAGGTTGGCCTGGTCCCCAATTGAATGTGCTACACTGTGTGGGCCGGTAGGTGACCACTCGATCGAAGTGTGCAACCATCTGGACGACGGGTACACAAGGTGATTCAAGGTCCGTACGATAAAAAGTGGTGCCCTTCCCGAATTTTAGCAATCAGGCGCCGTTAATGCTAAGTTCTTAATCCGCAAATGTAATTAACTTAATTTGCGATCCCGAAGGGTGAAGCTGTTAGTAAGTGTGCGCAAAATTCAATGCCGAACTTACAAGCTTCACTAATTTGTGTGTTTATGTGTCTGTAAATACCGCGGTAAAGTGTATCTTACGCGTAATAAGTGCGATCTAGACTGTATTCTTCTCATTGTATAAGGGTGTATTAAAAGTCACTCTTTGGCTAGGTCCCTATTCGGACGCACGTGATTGGATCAAAACCGATCAAAGATGAATATTATCATGTAATCAACAATAGACGCTTATGAGAAAAGGCTGATCATGTTCTCCAATAATACAGTACTGGGTTAATGCAGGAATTAACAGCATCATGCTGCTTCTTTAGTGATTGCTGCTTCTTTTTATAGTTTTGCGACTTACTTCCATGCTTTGAACTAAACTAATTGTATCAAAGGGTGAGCTCCACAGCTTGCTCCACTGTCTAATATAGTACTTGACGAATCTCTTATATCTGTAAGGTTTTTATTCGTGAAGTACATTAGAACTAGAAATTAAGGCATGCAGAGGTATTGCAACGGAATATTTGTTTAGCCAATCTGATCAGAATTACCTCAACAAAATCAGTACGACACACAACGGTTAGTCGGTGTTTCACGCTACCATGTCTAGGTTTATATGTAAAAGTGGTAGAGATAGACATTGTTTCGGGGCTACTCTTACTCCTTTGTCAGAGGAACACTTCTAGACTCGTAGGATCTCTTAGTATATCAAATTGAACGGCTTTTAACTTGAAGGGTCTCAAGGCTTACAGACCGTGTGACACTTAACTCCAAGTGTATGTTCATGATTGTAAGCTTCTAATTCTGGTTCAGAGGAATACGACTCCAAGGAATCACGTGGCACTAATGCCCAAGAGTACTTAGCCTTAACTCATACACTTACTCTCACGACCGGAGACGTTTTAGAAAGACACGTGTCTGGAACTGATCTAAAGGGGAACTGCATATACTCACTGAGTTATAGCGATACTGAACCTTACTTACGTCTTCAACCGTAAAACTAGGCTACCTAATCGAATAGTCCTCATCATATTTCTTCTTGTGTACCACCCCGGAACTACGTCGCCTTTATGAAGACCCTATTTCGATATGCATCCTCTAAGCATAATTGAAAGGGAACGGTATTATTGCTTAGCGTATGTGATACAAAGTATGCTTATCACTTGACTGGATAACGCTTCCCCTGAATGCTCTAAGGATTAGCATCCACCGTCAACGGTGCTCACAAAAATGTAGCATTTGTTTGGTCTGCAAACCATTATGCCAAAGCCAGATTAAATGTTGTAGTTGACAGCGCAAGACGTCTATCTGAATCCATAAAAGCCGAGAATGTAGATCTGTATGACGGCCGCGTGGGATTGATGATAGCGAAATGGGAGGTGCTAGTTACGTCAAGCCAACAAATGTTCTTCTCCTCACAATCGGATGCTCTTTATTGTGAAACGCAAGCAGGAGGACCTACAGACGTTCTTGACGCCATCTTGTAGGAGTATCGTGGCTTTGGACGAGTATGACTCTTTACGCTCATAGATGTCGAGATTTGCAGAGTTAGTATCGATTAGAGTTAGCAGGTGCAACGGCAGGATTCTAATCTGTACGAATGGGAATCGATTGTGAACAGGATGATAGTTCGAGAAGTTACAGAAAGTAAAAGTCTGTTCAGACGAATGTGGAACATGGCACTGTGTCTTACTGCGCAAACAACGCTATGTGCAAACTGTTTTTTTCTATTCCGAGTAGAGAACTTCGAGCGACTGGATCTGTGTAGGATCCGAGAAATGGCGCTGCCAACTTCGCATTGTTCGGGTTTTGTTGACGTGGAATTTCCATTCCAGTACTCGAGCTTGACGCTCAAAGCCGGCCTGCCCGTACGCTGCGCCAAGCCCAATACCACCACCGTAGCAAAGTTGAACGCCTTGACGCAAGTAGCAGTACTCATTGACATGGTCATGCCCCACGAAAGTGGCCTTTACATCACCCACTTCGACCAACGCTGAGAATAAGCCGCTGTTTACCGCAGCGCTGTAAGTAGTTTCAAGGCTTGCGCCAACCCGAGTCGACGGGGAGGCTAGCCCGTACTCTGGAACAGGGATGTGGTAGTACATCACTGCCGGTACAGTGCCATTCAGCAATGCACTGTCGTTCTGCTCAGCTCCTTCGGTCATGTGAGACTGTGCGAGCTCCCGGTAAAAGTTGATCTGAGCCTCTTTTATCCAGTCATAGTCATCGGGGTCAATGACAGACGGATAAGCTGCAGCGTCGATAAGGGCATGTGAGTCCAAGAAATACATGCGGAAGACTGTAGACCCTTTCTCACCCCAGATACCATCTGCTGGTGCCACAACATTAACCTCGTAGTTCCCGACACCTCCAATGTCACGAGGACCGTACTTCACGTGCGAGTATTGCTTCCCTTGTATCATCAGCTCCAGCATTTCTTCTCGTGATAATCCGCCTTCCGTATCATGGTTGCCAAACACAGAGCACCACGGAATTTTTCTCCTCTCGATGCGAGCAGTGAACGTGTTCATGGCCACCGTGTGCATCTTTCGATCCGAGTACTGATGGACATTGTCGCCCGTGAATACTACAAAATCAGGCTGCTCAATGTCAAGTAACTCGTCGACGAATGCGACCGTAACCGCTTCGCGACACTCACGGTACAGCGGGTCATTTCCTTCGCCAGCGGCTACTGATTGCGTGAAATTGCCTTCTTCCCTCATCTGCTGAGCTATTTCGGACGCAGCTGCCAAAATGCTATCCCGAATCGAGCTAGGGCCATCGGAACACCGACGATCTGGATCACCGGTGATATGCATGTCAGCGATTTGGAGCACTCGAAATGATAGCTCCTCGAGCGAGCGAGAAGCAACTGCCTCAACTGACGACGACACTTCGCTGTCAACGTTTGCAGTGTTACCGGTGCTGATGGACGTGGTGTTCAGGACAAACGGCTTGTACTGTCGAGTCAAGAAGAATGTACGCACATCTCCCGTAGATCCATATCCACTAACGTCCCAATCGCCAGGGAGCGACGAGATGTTGAAACTAGCAGCTTCATCTTCAGTAGTTTGGTACTGTGACAACTCCGCAACAAACGATGAAGTTGCTGGGATGGATACCAAGTTGCTAGTGTTTCCGAAGTTAACAAGGCTCCATCCAGCGCAAAGTTTGATCCGTTCACTGACAATTTCCGTGCCATTGACACTCGATCCAGGACACGATTCTGTTGGCAACACCACATCAAGGGCAGTCAAGACGGAATAGGCACCAGTCGTGCTGGACGACGGACGCCGCACGCAAACAACAACGCTACTGGAGCTGCTGCTCCTGCTAGCAGATGACTTGAGCATGAATCCTGGTGCCTCCCATTGTCCCAGCGGCTGTAGCTCATCACAAGCGGAATACATGGTACCACTTGTCGCATTGGTCAGAACAGCAAGTCCAACGATGGGACGCACAGGGTAACGCGCACTGAGATAGACACTGGTGGCTTGCGCGTCCATCTTGACGTCAGTAGCCCATGTAATCCATCCTGGAGTCTCGTGGTTGTAAAAGGACTCGGTAGTTGTCATGAGGTCGACCACGTACTGTTGAGTCTCGAATGCAGTGGTAGCCGAGACGTATTCTGCACAGACGAAGACGCTGGAGCTTGGGTTTGACACCGTCTGCATGGGCGACGGACAGCTATCGGTATCTGACACGACAACGATGCGACGCATCACCGACACACCGTCCAAACTGACGGCCCCCACGACATCAGTTTCCTCGCCTTGAATGCTCTGCTGCATGCACAAGTACCACAATGGGCCACTTGATGCTGAAACTGCTGCGGCCCAGTCGACACCCGTTGGGATCCATCCACGCTGGACGCACGCCTCCAGCGTCCTGTCAGTTGACGCTGCACTCACCATGGTCAAGTTGGCTACAGCGACGTGAGGCAGCACGAGCGGAGCGCTCCCTGCCACCAATGGGTCCGTGCTCTCATCGTCATCTGATGTGGTTAGCACGACGATAAGCGTAATCGCTGCTGCCAACGCGATCGCTACGATCCCTGCGATGACCGCGTAGCGGAATTTGCCAGCAAACGGCGGACAACGGGTCGGGCTACGGGGTGACTGCGTCGAGGTTGACGACCGTAACGAATGGAACTCCGTTTGTACCGCGGTTGCGTTGGGAAATGGCGAGTCCGTCATGTCTACGACACGACGACTCACGGGACTTTTGTGTGTCGTTAACTGCTCTAGCAAGGCCGTGGACTGCTTGGCGATTGTCGGACAATCGAGTTGTGGTCGAAGTTGAGTGAGGACAAGTGACCTCGTCGCGATCAGATGATACATTCAGTTTCAAAGGCTTGACATTGTCAAAGACGAGGGGCTTGGCTCTCAGGGATGGGATGAAGTCAGTGTTACACCTCAATCATGTGCAAAGGTTGATACGTTCTTGGAAACTTGCGAAATTCACTTGCGGTGACCACGAGGACGTCGATGGCGCTAAAGGACTGGATGCATTTGATTGCTTTCGAGCTTCACCAATCCCGCACACATTTACCTGAAGCCTTGTATATCCACCCGTGACCCTTACGACTCTTTCAGCATGAACATCTCCCCTTTGAGTGGGGCAGAATTTCGTCGTTTACCGTCGGTGAACGAATTGCGAGCTTTGGCTACTGTGATTGATCCAGTGTGCCGCAGTCATCTTGCTTGTACTCTAATCGACTCTGGTCTGAATCGACTGAGAAGGTGGACAAAAGCATTCCATCAGGAATACGCAAAGGAACCATCGCCCGCTGTTTTATGATGTTGACATCTCGTCAAACGTAATCACAATGTGGCTATTGGGTAGTCTCACGGTGTTATTGAGATTCCATGTCCGTATACTTGGTCATTACGACGAAAAAGACGACTTGCACAATGCAGATTAAATGCACTGAACGAGGTTAGGTGGCGTATTAACATGTGAATCATGGACAGGAGGCCGGCAAGAACAAACATTTCTTTTCGCGGAGACTCGAAGCAAATGACCTCGTTCTGACAAGGCGGTATAGCCATTCACATATGCTGACTTACCGTTTTCCTTTTACTTGATGATATGCCTGTCGTCCTCAGGTGCGAGTATTGCATTCATTAGCAGTAAATGGCAAGTCTCGATGTTCGCAAGCTGCAACGGGTCCGGGTGTTTGCGCGTGATGCGATTTACTTCGACAAATTGATGTCCAAACGTATCTCTAAACTGGCCACCTTTCTTATCATCTTCATCAAATTGTAGAAGTTATCAATGCTCAACGACGCGCGTCCGAGACCGCCCAACGTTGTTTACGACATCACATATGGAAGGGAAGAAATCCACATGTCAGTTTTAAGTCTACATAGACGAGGCATGGGAACGGAAAGCTGCAGTTAACGTTACAGAGTTGATGAAAGGCACGACAAACCCATCATGAGGGAGTGCACATACAACGACAGCAAGTGCTGGATATTTCGACTCAAGAACAACTGATGCAAAGTCAATCACTAAGTATACTTAAGAGATTGAAAACCACCCTATGGTGGCAAGAGACGTGTCAAAGCCGGCTCGCTCGTCAATCGTCAGGTACTAAACTGCGTGCGACACAGCTGCGCTTTGAATTGTTTACGAATCAGTAGTCTCAGTGTAAATGCATTAGACAAGGGCTTTGCTTTCCGTTCAATTATAGAGAATTTCGTATCTGTTTGCAATGGTCCTGCCAAACTTTGGGATGAAGGCAAATCTTTGCTTTATGACGTTTATTATTTCAGACAGCATTAGTTTTGACAGGCTTTGCTTTTCAGCGTTGGCCTTGGCACGCCGTGACCTTCAACTGTGTCACCTGCGAGCGTAGCAGGCAGACCATCAGGGGTCTGGTTTTGGACAAGGTGGTAGGCGATTGTGTACCGTACCGCCCGAATTGCGGTGAAGAGATACGAACTAAAATTGTTTGCTGTGTCTTGGCGATTGATTCGTCTGAAACAGCCTGCTTGCAAACGTGACCAACGATCACAATAAACCGCCAGACAACATGGTGGTATTAGTTACTATCAAATCGAAAATGGACCGCAGCAGTTTTCAAACCGATACGTTCCAGGTGAATGTGGCATTCTGCTGCTCATTTGTCCTTGTCTGCAGCTCACGCACTATAAAAGAAGTAGAATTTCGGATTCACTGTCCCCATGTACTTGGACTCTTCACCGCTCCATTCCTTTCGTACATGAAGTAATGGGACTCAAACAGTCGGCTGTATAAAGCTAGGGGAGCAAGCTCTCAAGCTCACCCTTTGATATAGGTAATCCAGTTCAAAGAACTGAATCAAGTTGCAAAACGCCGTACAGCAGCAGCAGCCACTGAAGAAGGTGTGTAATGCTGTAATTGTATGAATTAACTCAGAATATACTCATGCAACGCAACAGCCTTAGCTTACGAGCGTGCACTGTTTGCTTACATGATAATATTCACCTTTGCACGATTTTAAGTCAATCACGTGCGTGCGTCACAATAGGGACCAAACCAAAGAGTGACTTGAATCTACCCTTGTACCTATGAGAAGGGCACAGGCTAGATCGCACTTTGTACGTTCAAGGTACACCTAACCACAACAGACGAACACAACACGCACACAGATAAGTACGGTTTAAAAGCCTAGCATATACCTTGTGCACAGTCACTAATAGCTTCACGCTTCGGGCTCGTAATTAACAAATTGTTTTGCTTCTACTTTTAATCAAACTAAATTAAAATATCTAAAACAGCTTCTATTACCATTAAAAACTGCTGGAATTTATTATTTATCATTTTTTGAGATTCATAGCATTCTTAAATATCAAATATTTGTCAAGACAGAGTTAAACTGTCTGATCCTTGGGGGCGACGTTGGCTTAAAAAACAACACGTCAGATCACAATGTACCACCTCCTTTTCCTTATAGCGATCGAAGAGAAAAGAGACACACGTTCTCTACTATCGTATCGTTTTGGACGAAGTCGCATATTTGTCGGCACTATCGAGTTGCAGCAGTCGATGAAGTCGAGTTGCCAAGCCATTTCTGCCTGGACCGCGGCTGTTATTGCTGAGGTTAGGTGGCTTTTGGGATCGGTCATTGACATGGCATTACAACACCCTTCATAAATTGCCGCAGCTACACAAAACATGTGAATTGATAGCGATATCGTCAAGACTTCCATGATTCGATCAATACACGTCACGTGTACTTCCATCAATACATGATATGGTCTTTCTCCGCTATCGCTTCGATGAGTGCTACTGTGTCACAGCAACCCAATTCTTTCCATTTCCTTGCTGAAAGGAGCTACAATTATTGTCCGCTACACAACCAAGAACGAGTACAGTTTCACAAACCGCATGCTTGCGAAACTGGATACGTGCGAGCACTTAATTAACGTACGAGGACTTATTCCACCTTTGACGAGCTTAGATTCTCCATCATCCTACCAGTGACAGACAGCGATTTTCAGTAGCATCATCACAACAATCTCGCAGCAATCATTGTACCTACCAGGCTAGGGTCGCAGTGGGGATTATGTCCGTGAAAGGCAGCACTTCCTCCAAAAAGGCCACGTATCTGGCACGCGGCGACGAATCTTTGTACAGTACGTCCACCAGTTTGGACGACACGGGTGCCCACACCAAGTCCGCTAGCTCACCTAGGCCAGGGACCACAAAGGTCGCATTTCCTACAAAGTCGATGGCCAAACTTGCCACAAGTTTGCGAGATGGACTATCAAGCACAAAGTCCTTCATGCGGTCGGACAGCGCTGAAGGTGAGAGAGACTCTTCTCCAGGCATACCCTGGAACAGCAGCAGTTGGCCCTGTTGACTGGTCAACGAGTGCTGAAAAGCACCTTTCATGCGCTCCAACTGCACGAGCTTGATAGTCACAACAGCCAAAATAGCAGACAAGAGCGTCGCCAGCGACATCGCGACACCGACGATGGCCCAAATAGGAAAGCCTAGCATGCCTACAAGCAGTGTCAGCGGTAGCCATACAGGAGATGTTCCCACAATGCCAATAAAACAGGCCGCAACTACTGGCAGCAGCCCAACCGCTGCCTTGCTCTTATGCAGCAACATCTTTTAGCAACATACCATACCAGATAAAGCAAGCAACATGCGATGTCAACCACGCATTGCAAAAAGAGCACTAGCTACAAGATCGTCCCATTTACCTGGTGTGCAACACTGCTCGCTGTGTTCTTGACTGCGAGCGCATTAGAGATAAAAGCGCGAGGGCGTCGGTCCGTCTTCACTTGTATGCGTATCTCTACATCCCAATGCACCTAACCAAAGAGCGATAACAATTACTTATGCTTTGTAAATGCTCCTGTAAATGTCAGATGCATCACAATACCACCAACGGCTAACTCATACATCTCGGTGCAAAACTGGCTGGGTCCAATGGACGGACCCCTCGGAAAGCACAGGAATGCACCATCGAAGCTTCATTACGTGTGTTGCCACCACTTCTGTATCGTCTAGAAGCTTGAACTTCACATCCTGGTCCAACAAAGAAGTCTTGTTCTTTGTCGTTAAGTCTTCCGCCGGGATGACAATACTGCACGGTAACGACACTTCGTCGTCTTGACCGTGAGCAGCTGGCAAAAGGACAGTCAAGCGAGCGTGTGTTGGCGCATCTTGAGAGCTGTCTCGTTGCACCTTTGGAGGCTTTGCCAGCCATAGGATCTCGGCCTCTTGCAGCGTGAGCTCCATTTCGTGTCGATTCTTCTTGTTGAAGTCGTTTGAGTGAGTCGTAGTGACAATCCACAACTGTAGCTGGTCATGCGGGAATGTTACTCCTCGTCCAATCGGACGGCGCCATTCGATTAATCCTCGCCGTCGTTCATGATTCGCTGGAAAAAAAGACATTGTCAAACTCGCCCAATCAGACGGCGCCGTTCGATTTATCCTCGCCGTCGTTCATGATTCGCTGAAAAAGACATTGTCAAGCTCGAGGATGCAGCCGTTGGAAGAGCAAGAGGACCCGACGTTCGCGTCCGTGGCAGAACCCGCGCGTACGAATATGCTCGCTACATCACTGTTATAACACCTCACACTGCTGAATTAACGTATGCATTGGCTTGTTATGTGTGTGCGTGCTGTGCTTTTCTGGCGTTTCTGTAGCGCTGCAGCGGCCCCATTGCGACCAATGCCTCGTCGCTATTGCCGACTACGAGTGCGAACGCTGTGATCAGCGCTTCTGCCGACAGTGCGAGCTGACGATTCACCACCGACTTGAAGATTTAGCGCTGAAGTGTGAAGAGAGCAAAAGCGACGGCCGACCACATCAGGAATTTCTCAAGTGGATCAGCGGTGCGGACAATTGTTCGTTCTTGTGAGGCATACTCACGGTACTCGCTGACAACGCTGATGTTGGTTTTAGCTTGTCAGGAGTGTGGTGAGAATACGCTGGAGTTCTTTTGTCTCAATTGCAGCATGTACCAGTGCGAGAACTGCTGCGCATCGAAGCATCGACAGCTGGGGCCACATTTCTTCTTTTGCGTCGAAGGTAAGACGAAAGAGATTATAAATGGTATGGGGATGTGATTGAAGTACTGACTGATACGTTGTCGGGACGGATCGAAGGCTCGTCACCGAAAATGTTTCCATTTGCTAGCTGGAACTTGATGTTTGCGGAAACAGTCAAGATGAGTAAGGGTGACTTACAGGACAGAGCTGCAGCCACAGAAGCGGCGGTAGCCGTGGCTCAGCAACCTATGAAGGATAAGACAAGCACGAAGCCTAGCAGCTCAGCATCCGCGCATGTTAAAACAGAGCAAGCCGTTGCAGCGTCGGCGACCGGCGACACAACTATGGCACTAGAGAATTTGGTCATCGACGAATCTGCTGCCCCTAAAGATGCACCGCAACCTGCAGTTGAACAAGTCAAGATCAAAGCGAACCAATCGATAAGCGCATTTACGTCATCAATCGTCGATCTGACACTTGACGACAGAGGTGAAGCTAGTCCTACTAGCGCGTCCTCTCGGGAACTGACTCAGCCGCAGATTAAGGAAGAGATACGGATCAAAGCCGAAAATGCGTGGTTGAACTCAGCCACAGCTGTTCACGATAACCTGGCCTTTAACATTGACGAATTGATGGAAAAAACAATGGGAGAAGACGAAGACCCGATCCTGCGGTCAATGATCAGCGAATACAATCAGCTTAGTGCGAAGATCTTCGATATTGACCAGGAAGCTGACAGTGTTCGCAAGAAGACGAAAGAGCTGTCGAGCACACAGCCGTTTGATATGCAGGAGGTTACGAAGGCTCGCGTATTGGCAAATAAACTACGCAAGGATAAAGCTGAGTCGGAGAAGGCTCGAGACGGAGTAGTGGCCAATGTCGTCTATTATCTAAAGTCTGACCCGGACGACCTCAAACAGTTCCTGGCAACCTGCACCGCAGAAGTCTCGTATGCGCAAACTGCGTGTCACCGCAAATGCGCCACACTGGAGGCGACCATTCGCCAAAACTTGGAGAACATTCGAAGAATCCAGCGTGATATGGAGGAGTTGATCAACATGAAAAAGGACGCGTTCGCAGAGGTTACACGTCTTGGGGCTGGCATTGCTCAAGGAGAGGAAGAAGTTCGCAAATTGGACAGGCAGCGGCAGGACGAGTTTTTGCGTTTGTGCCAATTTAGCAAGTCGATTCAAACTGCTGTGCAGGAGATGGCCGCATGCGCTCAATAAAGGTGAGGACACAAGGATTGGTGCGGTAGTAGCTTGTTACTGCAACCGTTGGTGATTCCAAAAGCGGCACAGTTTGATAAGAGAGAATGCTGACAAGTTTGCGCGCGGTTTGACACCAGGGCGGAGAGTGACTGAGTGGATCCTGATTTGTATCACATGTCTTTATTCGGCCTTATGCACTGTGGTTTAGTACAGTCATGTTGAACGCTCGGTAAGCGTAGTGTATAGTCCAAGCAGATGCGGCGCCGAGCCACGTTGTTGATGCTTGTGTGGATTCCGTGTCGTGAATTAACCAAATGGCCATCAGCAGTGCTTCAATCTCGCAAGAATCCGGAATTTCGCTAAAATCATTAAAGTTAGGGTGTTAAGTACACCCCACTTTTTTCTGACTACGCCGCATAAACAACACTTATACCACACCACATCATGGCTTGTATGACAAAAATCGCGTCATCATACATGTGTATGACCACTTACGCACGACACTTTACATCTGTCGTACAAATTCAGAGTGATTTACTGTGAAGGAGTTACACATCGTAGGGTACTCGTTACCCTGCCACCTAGACACAAGGATATTATCCCACCAAAAGAGATATGAAACTTCTTATCGGTTTATGGGGGATGACGTGTGTCAGCTACAAGATAGATGAGATCTGGAAGATATTCATTCAGGACATGAGTACCTAGATTAGGTGATATTAGGATTGAGATATTCTATAGAGTTAAACGTAAATAAAGTTTAGTTCCCCTTTGATCTTGTCTAAGACACGTGCCTTGCGAGGCGTTCTCTGATTGTAAATCGTTAGAAGTTAGCAACACCTCCCTGAGATAGCTACTCTTGAGCACTAAGTGCTGTAGATTCACTGAATCGTTCGTTCCCTGAAAATGGAGCCTTAAGCTTTGCGCTTGTTAAATCATAGACTCTAATTCTTTAGAACTACAATCGCTCGTTGAGCACCAAGTCTTCCTCTGACTTTAGGAGCTGTGTAGCTCTGATATACACGTGTGTCGATAACTTAAGCCTGATTAACCGAATCGTTGCGAAAATAAATTTCTTCAGCGGGTGTACTTTCTCAGCGCCGTTGATAGTCGTCACAAGGTAGAAAATATCAATGTGGCGGCTGCATAACAGGATCTTCACATTAATGAAGATCTTAATGCGAGCGACTTCGATGATTTTGAGCAAACCTTTCGACATTTGTGTCTTGCAGTGTGAAGTTAACCAGATCATACTCAAGCTAGAGCTCTTCCCACTGTTTGGGTGTCATAAACGCTTCACTCCTCAATAACAGAGGATAACACATTCTCTGCCACTTTGTTAAGCCAGCGAGTTATAAAATTTTAAGTGACATTTGTGGATTCAGGATCTGTCATTGGGTCTGAATACCCTTCTCTTCAAAATTCCTGATTGATCACGAGTGTAACAGCATCTCTTTTTTTGCCGATACCGCAGAAAAAACCAGCTTGTTGTTTTTAATCCACATAGAAAAAGAAGGCACTGCCTGTCTGCAACAGAGTCGACGCTTCAAGCATAACATACGCGAAAGCCACGGTCGTGAAAGAATGTTAAGACGCGGTCAAGGCACGTGGTCTTGCCGGTACACAAACAATCTGTCTAAAATGAATTCGTAGATGGGCAAAATATCCCTTTACCACTCTGTAGCAAAATAAATAGAGGTGTCGTATACTCGCCGGCTGAAATGGCGCGGCCTTGCGACCACTGAAACGGAGCACCCTTTGTTTGGGGTGCCACGAAACTTCACGTACACTAGTACGTGCAGAGGAAGCTAATCTAGTCAAACAACTAGTTTGAGTAAAGGTTAGATGAGGACTGTAATTAATATAGTTAAGCTATTAATACAACTTCAGTCTTTCTCTAACTATATTATATTATATCGTCGTATGACCACAACCTGCTCATTACTCATTACGCGCGTCTAGCAGCGATTGATGATAATCTTGGTTGATGTGTCTTTTATCAACAAATCTTCGAGCAGCACGTGAATGTTAATTTAAGTGGATAATATGTCTTTAATTTTACCTATCTCGGATAACATTTGCAGGGGATTGCCCCGCCAGAAAACCTCCCTATTGACGCCATTTGGTGTAAATATCGTGTAACGGGCTAACCCGTTACAACACGAGTTGATGGCTTCTGTTCTGTGGCCATCTCGCTGGTACATTATTTGGTGAATCGATGATCGATTGGATCTATTCTCGGATGATGATTGGTCCTCAGAAATAAAGTCAGGCCAAGTTAAAATGGTCTGCTAACTTAATCGTCTTCGTTGTACCATTAGTAGTGGTTGGCACTGGTAAATTCGTTGCATTGCACGGTAACTTTGAAGTAATTGTGGCTAGCCCGAGAAAGCGATAGCATTGCGTCCGATGGATTCGCCAATAATGTGTGTTACGGCAAACTGAAGCTTTACAGCGTTCGTCTGACAAAATTCGAGCTGTGTATACCTCAAACGAGCATCGTTGCAGCATTTGTGTGAAAATCACGCAAGACCTCATGTGGTGGGGTGGGTTGTCAAAGCTGTTTGACGGGACCCCAAACCACTCACTGTGCCGGACTGCCGACTGTTGGGGGGGGGTGCCATGATGCGTTGGGGGGGGGTGCCATGATGCCGCTTGTGGTCGTTGACTCACCTTGTGCAGCCACTCGATCGACTTGGTCCAGAGTGGTCTTATAACCAGTTGTGTTAGGTGCTGGTGGCGCCTGGCCTTTACTTGTCTCAGGGTGTTAATCACCTGGCCTTTACGTGTCTTCTCCCTTACCACTAGGTCATAGAGGCCGCTTCCTATAGCGAGATTGAGTGGAGGGTTGCAACTCTACGAACCCACAGGCCAATTGTACTATCTGGGGTTCTATTTACACTTAAGATTTACTGACAACTGTCGAATCGACGGATGGGCCAAACATATCCCTGGCCCGGAACAGGTCGGTAAATTTACAAGTATCTTAGCGCACGACACGTCGTGCTACTCAGATTGCAAATTGATTAGTAGATTGATGTGATCCTATCCTTTAAACTGCTCTATTCTTGCCTTTCACCTGGGTTCGCTATGATGAGTGGCCAGAATTCACCAGACCTTGTGAGGCCAAGTCGACCTATGGGTGACCTGATCGGCCAATTGGTGTCCAAGTCGGCCTACGGGTGACCAAGGTCCACCTTGGGTGACCAGGCCGACCGACGAGTGGTTAAGTACGATTCGTATCGGTACCGTTCAACTGGTACTGTGGGTCGGTATGACCCCGATAGCGGTAACCTTTACCACTCGTCACGGTTATATCCAACGGCCGCTCCTACCTTGTGACCCCCAAGTCTCCAATCCCTTTCCCGACCGCGAGGTCTTACGTCCATATGGTTCATTGAAACTTAAGTACATCATAAACAAAACTCGATTTACCACAGACGCCCTTTGCACTTGCTCGAACGTACAGAGGTTCGAGCACGAGAATGTATTTACCACGCCAGTCCCAAAAGATCCTACTTTTCTTGTTGTCGATATCTCGTTACCGTCTAATCTGTGTGTTCGTTTCGCTGTCTTAACCTGGATCCGACTCACCGTATGAGAGAAGGGCTCCAACTCCTACATCGCCAACACCTGCATCCTAGGCAGAGGTCACTACCCAGCTAGACTTAGTTGCAGCGTCACCTCCCGCTTCTGACACACAGTAACCGTTGGCAAAAGTAACTGTCCCAGTGATCTCAGTTGCATCATCACCTGTCGCCCATAGTTCTCCACAATCGCCATAGTTATTGAACGCTGGTAAAGCATTCATGACCACGCTGTCAACTTCGCAACAGGAGGATTCTCTTCGGTCAACTCTGGTGTGAGGTCTCCCCCAGTAGTGACTGCTTCTTCTGTTTTCCTGTCAGTACTGCTCCCGTCGATTTTAATTTGGGCACACCGGTCGACCCCATCGGTTTTTTCCCGATACAAAGCGTACAATCAGTCGATGTGGTGGCGTTGTCTCGCCGGGTCGAGGCCTGTGAAAGTCGACGGCTTTGATGTTTCCTTCACCACATTGCTAGTCTCTCAGATGTGAGCGCTTGGAGCGGGAGTTAGGTGACTCCTGCGCTTTCGTGTCACAGCTTTATGGTAAAGCCGATCGAGATCGAATCCAACAGCCTAGGCGATTCAGCTAAGCACGAGGTTGTATAGGCTTAATCGCTCGTGGAATGATAGCCAGTTATTTAGATGTCACGGGTGGGATGATCAAACGGGCTTAACCATATTTAATTTCACGGTCCCAGACTGTAGCACGGTCCCACACTGTAGATATACATAGGATCGCGATCAGGGGACCGCGATCCAGCGACCACAAAAAGTATTGCGATCCACGGACTGAGAAAAAGTACCGCGATCAATGAACCGCAATCCAGGGACAGAGATTAAGGAACCGCGATTCAGGGACCGGGATCTGGCGTGGGCCACGTCTTATACAAGGAGTGCAAATATATTCGACATGAAGAAGACACGTGGCGGCCAATCCTGATGTAGGGAGTATGCGTGGCTATGGTTTCGGGTTTTGTTTGGTTAACATTAAGAGAGTTCAATTTGCTTCTATTCACATACGTGTCGTTCTTCATCCGGGTTGGATGGTGGCCTCCCGACGTCAGAGAACTTCAACACCAAGGACAGGAAGATCACTTCTGGAGCTACTTGTCCAGGAGTGCAAGAACTCTCAGCACACCTTAACTGCTATCGGACGCAAGCAGCCTTACTGGTTGAAGTTCAAGATCACGAGACGGCTCAAGTAGTCAGAAGGCTCGCGACACAAGTAACCCAATTTTGGCACAACGCAATCAAGGCTGATAGCGGCGACTTTAGGAGACCGGCAACCAAGAACACGCGATCGGGTGAGGAATTTTCCGCCGATCGACACCAAACTTTATAACGGTCAAGTTCAGCATCGAGTCAAGTCCACCTAGAAGTGTGCAACCCACCCTACCGAAGAGTACACAAGGTAGGAGGAGACAAGTGCA